TCCGACTGCAAACAGCACTTGGTTTCCACTCACCCTCTATCGATCCACAAACTCTCTTTGGCACTGAGATGGGATGCGTTCACCACTGGCACATCCAAGTGGCCCAATTCTTTCGTTATGGAACGCTTTCCTCTGAGATACAATAAAAATCCCGCTCCGACGAGCAGCGCGAGAACAATGAAAGCCAGAAGCACCACGAACCAAGTCTGCCGCACCAAAGGCACCAGGGGGCCTAAAGTGCGCGGACTTTGAGCCCTTGGAGCCGTCAACAAAGGCACTGACGCTGAAAAGGGCCCTGAAAGAACAGCACCACGTCCTTTATTAAAGGGGCCGAAGTGATTGTCGAGAAGCCCGTACCTTGTCCAGCACTAGTAGTTGCAGCTACGCGAGCGCTGTAGGGATTTCCCGTAGTCAAGTTGCTGATTAAGATGGAGGTAGTGGTGGCATTCATAGTGATGGTTCGCGTGACTCCGCCCTTAATTTGGATTTTGTACCCCGTGATGATTCCGTTGCAGTGCTGAGGGGGAGGAGGCGACCACCGCACCCAGCCTGCCGTATTGTTGAAGAAACCTTGAAGAGCAGATTCAGCACATTCGTTCAAACGGTTTCAACTCGCGACTGGAATTACCTGCTGTTATCGTATCGGGGGGCGCCGACGGCACATCCTCCAAGGTCTGTGCTATTCGGGAATTCGAAGGTTGGCCCTCAACCGACTTGTAAAACGGCGATATGAAAAACTCGTACTTGGTGAACTTCTTCAAGTTGGTCACTGTGTAGAATGTTGTTTCGATATTCAGCACCGTTAGGATGTTGTAGTTGTGCGAGCCACCCGACAGCTCCCTGAACCTTCAAACGTTTCGTGCGTGTGAAGAGAGCGTGCGAGGGGTATGATTGGTATAGCAACTACCTGATGTAGAAGCCTTCGACATAGTCCACAGCAGCCAGTAGCCATATCAGGCGGACGGATCCGGAGCTTTGCGATCTGGCGTCCTGCAGATCAATCAGCTTTGTGCTCAGCGCGGCTCTGGCAGTGTCCAGTTCTGAGTTGGGTAAGGAACGTGTGTTGGCCAAAGTACGTGCTGTAGCTGAAACTTTGCTGGCTGGCGACAAGCCCTGCGCATTCTC